AAAACGCAAAGAGCAAAAACTACAAAATTAACTACAAAATTAACCAATACTTGCAGCTACAGGAACTTAAAAACATTATTTATAAGTAAAAAACAGCATGGCAAATACAAGACTGTGAAAAACAAACCTTGTAATAAAGCTAAGAAAGAGAAAAGCAAAGGCAAAATTGCATCTTTCTTAGGACTGTTTAAGAAGCTGAGCTCCTGGAGGATCAGACATAAACAAACAATTGATGAAGATCAGGAACTGATTCCACTAGATCTATTTGATATTTCTCACGAGATAATACAAGTTACCTGATATTCTGTTTTTCTTTCTAATTTAATGTTATAAACATTGTTATTTTTTTAAAAAAAATTATTAATCTGAATGCATGTCTTTAATTTATTCAGTACATTTACATTATGCAGAACATTTTCAGCTACTACTTGAACTGATATATGTAAGCTATCATATTTACTGTATTTTCCAGCGTATAAGGCGACTGGGCGTATAAGACGACCCCCAACTTTTACATTTAAAATATAGAGTTTGGGCTATACTCGCCGTATAAGACTATCCCTCTTCCAACGCACACCAAATAAAAATTAAATTTGTTATTAAAACTCAGTGCACTACAGTACTTACTGACGGGAGCCAGATTGACCAGCCAGGATCTGTCATAAATAACACCACAAATGCACCATGCAAATTTATTTAGGTAGGGGGAAACCGCTGGCATAAGCTCGGTGGAAGTCGATGGGTGAAAAGACTGTGTAGCTGTTTTCTGTCCCCCCTCCATTCCTGCTTCGTAAATCCGAGAGGAATTTAGCTGACACCCCTCCCTCCCCTTCCAGACCCATAGCCTCCTCCTCCTTCCTCCCTACTGTGTGGGGCGCGAGGAAAGAGGGAACGCCTTGCGCCGTCTGCCCACCTCCGCAGCCGCCAGTTGCACACTCAGTATGAGCCGTCACTGCATCCCCCATGAGCATCTCCTACCGCCCCGCCTCCTTTCAAGCTCCGCCTCCCCAAGCTACTCCCACCGGGGCTGAGAGGGCAACGCCAAAAAGGCCCTGGATGATGGCGGAAGAAACGCTGAGAAGTGCCTCGAATGGACGCAGATGCTTAGGTTTGTTTTCATTATAAAAAAAAACACCCTACAACTCTTTTCCCCCTGGGCCATCCCTTTCTACTTCCTTCGAATGAATTAATCACGGGACGGCCACTACCAATCCGCAGTTCTGGAGGGGTGGGCAAGGGATTGGGATGACGAAGGAGAGGGAAGAAGAAAGAAGGAGGCGGTATGCCAAACCACATGTGTAAAGGAATAAAATAGAATACCTGTATTTTCCGGTGTATAAGACGACTGGCCGTATAAGACGACCCCCAACTTTTGAGAAGATTTTCATGGTTTAGAAAGTCGTCTTATACGCCAGAAAATACGGTAAGTACAGTATTCATTTGAGGTCATTCATCTCTAAATATCAAGTATCTATAATAAACAATTAGATACAACTAGGGTCCTATTTTGTTTGTGTGTGTGTGTGTGTGAGTGTGTGTGTGTGTGTGTGTGTGTGTTGCCAAAGATAATTGGGTGTCTATTGCTGGGAAAAGAACCGGATAGTCTAACCTAGCATCGGTCATCCACTCCCTTTAAAAATACTGTCACTTGGCTAAATCTGTAATATGGGTTCTCCAGCTATACTTCACTCTAGTATAATCTTGTTTTCCTTCTCCTTTTATATTCCATCTCTTTTCTCATTAAGTCTATAAGCTCACAATCAGGGTTTGTTTTTCTTGCTTTATCATTACACAGCACCTATTTAAAAACATAACAATAAGCTTTTATATAATTACCATGAATTTATTGTGATAACCCTGATCCATCAGCACATACATTTTAAACAATACATCACACATACATCACACATACATCACAAATTATCTACATTCCATTCATGTACTCATAGTACTATTCCTGAATATTCATGTACTAATGTAGTACTCCCTAGCAAGTATTAAGCACTTAGAATTTTGGTTGCACTATGCAGAATATGGTTCCGCAAATATAAGAACACACTATCAACACTTTTATAGTTATAGTAATTGCTTCTTATTAAATTTGAGGTTATTTTATGAAACTATCGTATACCTGCTTTCCAAATCTTTTGGGAAGTAAATTCCACTGTGTGGCTTACTCCCTGGTAAAGATGTTTAGGATTGCAGAGCTTTTCCCTTAACGTTATAAGCGGGATTATGTCTTTTAAAATGTTTTAACTTTGCTTCACTTTTTATTTCTTTGAATTATCTTAGGAATATTTTCTTACTCTTCTTGCAAACCATGTCTATGGATATTTTATTTTGCAAATGATTATCTGTACATTAATTTAAAATATAGCTAGTACTAACTATAACTAAGAGATGGGTGAGACTAGAGTTAACTTTTCCTTAATTTGCTTTTCAAATAATATGAACATGCTTTATATACTCTTTCACCTTCCCCACTCTATCCATACAAAGAAAATCTATGTACTTTTAAGCATTAAAAAACTCATACTACTGCAATCATGGTAATATAAACTGGTAATAACCACCAGATGGCAGATGGACCTATATCTTATAATTGAATTATACACACTTCCTACAAATGTCAGGAATTCTTATCAAACAGCTATTTTCATTAATTTTCTGTAAGTCTGTACAAGTTATGCATAAAATATTATCATTAAGGTATCTGCCTATAACATTTTATCATATATTTATTTTAATTAATTATATCCAATATCACATCACCTCCTGATGTGGCTTTTAGCATCTTATCCTGGTATTTGGAGACTGAAGGCAGACTGAAGTTGAACTCAAAGATGTAGATTGTGTTTGTCTATCAACACCAGTGTCATCTCTGGATGGGCTTGCACTGCTCTAAAGAACACGATTGCAGAGGATCTTTGGCTTATGTTTTATGTTTAATATACTATACATATTTTAATTCTTCATACCTTGGACCTTGCCAGGATTTTGATGCACTGCCACTCAGAGACTGCTTTCGGAGTTTTTTTCCCCTCAGCCAAAGGCCAATCCAGCCCTTCCTAGCATCGAGGTCAGGCATGCCTCATCATCAGCAGAACAAGAAAAGGGTGAAGGTGAGGTGGGGCAGTGAAGCGCAGGGTGACAGGGATCTCAGAGTGCAGGGTAGTGAGAATATTTGTGGCTGGGCCTGGGCTGGGGCAACTGCAGTTTCCCCAGAGCCTGCTTGCCACCCTGCAGGGTTAGGTACAAGGCAGCTAAAGGGCAAAGATGGAGATGGGAGGGGGGAGTGTTGGAATAGTCCTGCAGATGGAAGTGTGGGCAAACTGCCAAGATCCAAATTTTGATCATGTGGCCACAGGGATGATGCAATGGCCATAAATCCATTTTTTAGCACTGTTGTAGCTTCAAATGGTCACTGAACAAATGGTTGTAAGTCAAGGACTACCAGTATAAGACATTTTCTCCCCCCTGTCTTCTCTCAACTTACTTGCAGTGCCTTGAACATACAAAAATTTACTTGCCATTTTGTGACATTTTTGTTAGTCATAATGAAAATGATCTTACTACTGTAGGAAGAATCCAGAGAAAGAAATATTTTGGGAAATAATAAAAAGGCAGAATATATTTCCCCAAAGGATTTTAAATGCAGAAACCAACCCCCTTCCCCAAGTCTCTCTGCCCAATAGAAACCAGATCTGCAGAAATACAGATGTGATAATCTTGTCAGAAAGATTGGAGCCAGGAAGCTTTGATTAGAAAGATAAAGATCCCTAGAATCAACAACCCCTCACACCCAAATAAATCCAACAGTCATCAGTCACGCCCCAGGGAAGCAGGATATGATCTTTGGGACATAATAAGATTAACCCACCACCATCAGAATACCAGAAAAGCACACTCAGACTCAGGTCAAAGTTCATGCCACAGGAACAACTTTCCCAACAAAATCTCAAGAAGGTATAAAAACTCACCACTCCCTACTATATGTGGGCAGTTTTCCCCAGAACCATCTTTTCATCTGGCTCTCCTCTTCAATAAACTGCGACCCTCTTTCTAAAGCACTCTCCATTTTGATTATTCCTGGCTTAGACTGGACCCTGGTGAAGATTTTTCCTTCAACACTAGGGATATCTAAAATGTAATGCATTTATAGATAGCTGGAAACTGGATATAGATAAGCACTGAACATTTTGGGAAGACGAATTTTGAAAAGGTTCGCAAAAGACTTCAGTTAGCTCCACATAACTTTTATAAAAATATTGTAAAATACTCAGGCAGCATAACCTTTACCCAAGAATTTTAGAATGCAGTACAAAATGGGGCATTCTTCCATTTTGTCTTCATAACTATTCTTTGCGCCAGGCCAAACTGTGAAAGTTATAGAATTATGAATATGGCTCATCCTAGTCCGATATTTTTATCCAGCCTTCCCTGCACTACACCTCCAATTTTCAAGCCAGAAAGTCTATTATTCCCAGAAACTCGTTACTGAGTTTCTCTAGTCATTTTATTAGAGTACGCAACAGGGGCCTTCTAGGTGTTTTTACTTTAAAAATATGTATATAAAAAAAGATTTAACCAAGATAAAATCCAGTCGCCAAACATTTGCACTATTAAGATTTCTTCCCAGCTTAGCTTTCGAAATATATATATTCGCTCGCTGTCCTGCGAAAACCGTTCTCCTGAAAATGCTTAGGACATGGGGAACATTCAGTATACGTTACGTCCTAATGCGTTCAAGAGCATTTACTCTATATAGCTATATAGCTCTCCCCCCCACCCCATCCCCAAAAGCGTGCCTCATGCTTAACTTCCCCGCTCCTCTCCCATTTCCTATTATGCCGTTTTCCCGCCCTCTTCCAGCACAGAGAAGGGAACACCACACAGCCGCGCGCCACACGCGCGCGCATGCAAACGACGCCCGCGCGCTGCTTCGTGACCCATCTCACTGAACAAAGGATTCCTGTTCGCAATCTCTAGACCTAAAATGGCGTCAGTTCAATCTCCCAACACCATAGAGATAAAGGCGAGGCCGAGTCAGGAAAAAAAGGCGGACGGGAAAGGCGAGTGGGTAGAGCGGCTGTTTTTTTAGCGTAAGGCCTCTCTTGCCTATCGCGGCATTCTGACTCGCTGGTCGTAGTTCTGAGTCTGGACAGGGTGGAAAGCCCGGCGCTTATCTGGCGATGGCGACGGAGGAAGAGACTAAGATTTTTAAGAAGGTAATAGAGGTGAAAGCTTCTTTAAAGAAAATTGCCTCTTCGTCGAATTGCTTCAACCACTCCAAGGTGCTCGGTTGGTCGAAACGTAGCGCCTTTCCAACCGTGAATAAGTCACCTTCTTAAGCAGTCAAGGCTAGGTGAATCTTCTTCTCTCAGTCCAGAGATTCACAATAACTCTGAATACGAAGGTTTCGGTGACCTCTCGTCTCCTCCTTTTGAAAAGCTAAATGTAGGAGACCTGGATTTAATTTTAATCTGCCAAATCTTCTTAAAACACTAGACCCATTTTTTCTCTTCCACGTTGGGCGTGTGACAGTTGCTTCTGGAAATGCCATTGCACCCAGGCAATCCTATTTCAAAATAATAGCAATAATCCCTGCTGCTCAGCATTATTTTAAAGGGGTTTTCGCTAGCAATAGGAAAAAACAAAAATGAACGAATGATAATCAATCGTAACTGAATTATTTATATATGTTGATACAGACATACAAAGTGTAGTAGTAACAACGTCTTGGGGGGGGGGTATAATCCGAATTACTGTCCTGGTGTTAAAAAATTGTCCATATGTACTTGATATTTTTCCAAAGAACAAACAATTGTTATGAAGGGAGTTTTTATAAAGTGTAATATGCTCAGCATTCTGGTAATTTAAATTTTTGGAAGCTGTTACATGGTATTAGACTTTTAAAGGATCTCTTAAAGCACTCTCTTAAACGTTTAGTCCTTAATGCAGATTTCATATTACTACTAATTTTTCAACCATTTTCGACCAAATGTTATCATTCTAGCATTTGCGTTTTAAAATTTTCTCCGTCCATTTTTCAACCTTTAATAAACATTCCCTTGAAATAAACACATTCATCTTCTATCTTCATCCTTGTACCAAGCATTGTTTTTAATGCTTCCTGTTAGTTAACTTTGCATGCTTCTGTGGCAATCTGTAATACAGTTTTTGTGTTCCTAACAGTTTCCATAACGTCTTTCCTTGTATCCATTTTCCTTCATTTATTTCACACATTTCAAAATACAGTTCTTTGCTCCACTGTTTGGCTCACTATAACTATCACTGAATATCAATGATAAGATTGCCAAAAGTTGGCATTGTGGTTTATGACCATATTGAGGTAGTAAATTTATGAAAACTGAGATAAGCTCTAAATCTCCTTTCCCAAACCTTAACAAGAATACAACTCAATTATGAAGCTTACTGATTCATTCCTAGAACTGTGAAGTCCATGATCTTTTGCTCAGAAACTAATTCAGATGGGTTTCTTTAAGTTCTACAGTACTAGCAAATCTGATGTTACCAGTAATTTATGACACTACATCTCAAATCTCCAAATATATTCATTTGAATAATTTATACATTAAGTATAATATATAGTAATGTTAATATGACCAATCTCCTAGCACAGGGGTGTCAAACTGCTGGTCCCCAGGCCAGATGCATCACACCAAAACTGAGTCCACCCCATTGTTGGCAATGGGAAAAAAGTCACGATACGTCGCGACATGTCGTGAGTTTGATACCCATATCCTAGCATCACCTCCTACAACTTATCTACTAGGAGAGTAATATAAGCTATCCAGCTCACAATCTATTTAATGACCTCAGAGACCACTTGTAAATCAATAAAATCAAAGGAAACGTATTTTCTGTATCCAATCTCAAACATAGTTCATTCTGTCTGTTTCCATTTTGCAGAATAGCAATGGTTTTCACAGTTCTTTGTTTTCTGGAGGTTGTTTTAATTGCTTATAAAATGACTGAGATGATCCAATTATTCTTGGTCTATTAGTACAAATAAATAACTAAGCAATACTATCAAAGTATCATATTATCAGAAAAATGTAAAATAACAGTATAAGTTTTAATCTACTACAAGTAACATAAGATCAATGTTTTACTTATTGCAATAGTTGTTTGACTTTACGTTGTTTTTCCTGTCTTTGTGGCTCAGTGAAAAAGCTGTTTTTACCAAATTTCTGTTATGCTTAACTATAACAGAAGTTGATGCCTTTTTTGAAACTGGATCTTAAACTATTCAGAGAAATTGTTCTTGTTCATTCTTTGATTCGTTGATCCCCAAGTATATCTTAACTATGATGTATTTGATTTTTTTTTCAGTCCTTTCTGCAAGAAATGCTGGAAATCCATAAAATTCCTTGTGCTCGACAATCATTTCTTTACGGAATATTGGGTGGTCTCGGTATAGGGCTTGGACACTTTTTGGCAAGTAGTAAGTAAAAATAAAGACCTGTTAACATATAATTATATGAGATTGTGTATAGTTTTATTTTTCCATTTTCCCATCATACTTTCTCACAAATTACCATGTGCCATCTATGCACCATTTTAATAACCACAGTTGACACATCTTTCAAAGTAGTGCTTCCTTCTGTCACTCTGCATTCCTTCCTAGAAAAAGTACATATTGTCAACAATACCTAAGGTCTGAATATTGGCAGTAAATTTAAACTTCTAAATATTAATTAAAATTAATAGTAAAAGAAGAATTCAGTGATCAAATTAATAGTAAAAGAAGAATTCAGTGATCAAATTAATAGTAAAAGAAGAATTCAATGATCAGCCAGTCTGTTGCAATCATTAACTAGACAGTCTTATTTCAACAGTTTGCACGTTTCTCCTTTGTTCCAAATAAGTGCTTTGCAGTGATGATCTCAGGTTTATTGCCTAGTTTCACTAAATCCCATTCAACTAAAATAAGTATCCCAACAATGATCTATTGTTACCTTAAACTTCAGAAATAATTGTATTTTGGATTGTTTTAATGTTGATTTCCTGTCTTTGTTATTGCTGCCTTATCAATACACATTCACTATGAATAAAGATAATTCTTTTCTCATCATCAGGCAAAGTGAGACGATCCTATCACTTGGGAGTAGGGGGTTTCTTTGTGACAACGTTAGGATGCTGGTGGGTATGATGATTCTAAAATTATGATAGCTTACTGTTTTAAGATTGATCATGCTCTAATCATGCAAACATGTTTTTTTTTCTACTTTTATTAATAATCACACTTGGTACTTATTTATTAATGTTTGTGGTAAGATTTCCTTATTACCTGGAACAGATGTACTTTCCACGCATCAGTCTGAGTTTGTACCCAGTTCTCATTAGCAACAATGACATTTTCTTACATAATTTCCATATAGAACTTGTTTTATTTCATAATTGGCATCAAATTATGATTCCGAAATTGGTTGTTGTGAGCCTCCCAGAGTTGTTTTTTGATTGGCAACTGTAGAATTTTTCTTTAATCAAAGTAAATAAGCTTAAAATTTCTAATTAGTTGCTGTTCTTTAAAAAAGACTATTGCAATGAAAAAAAGGGTAGGCACATCTATTCTCTTTTGTTGCGTAGTAGTAGTGGGGAAAGCGTTGGAAATAACTTCCATGGCAAGATCTTGTGGAAGTCTGACATTTTTGTACTGACACAGAAAACAGAAATATATAAATAACCATAAAATATTTTTACATATAGGATAGAGAAAGTGTTATGTAGCATGTGCTTTTTAAGTTTTAGTGTAGGTCAGTCTGACAACAGCTAGACTTCTTATTCTCACTTATTCATACTTTTATTTTTCTTCTATCTAGTTTTTTTATTGCTGAAATAAAGCAAACAAAATATAATAATGCAAGTGATAATGTGCTTTTTTAAAGGTTCTATTGTAGATACAGCAATGCAAAACGAAGGTTCCAGCAACGCATGGTTCAAGAAGCAATAAAAAACAAGATACTATTTGAAGGAACTGAGTTTGATCCTACAATGAAGAGAGAAACAAATCATGAAAAAAGCCGTTAAGTTTTGGCAATGCCATTAAACTATTTTGTACCGATTATGTGTAATTACAGTATGAACTTTACTGTAATTTGATAAAACATTTCTTTATTGTGAAATTCAGTTTTTTATTCCCATTTTACCACTGTATGTAAATATGCTACCTTGAGAGCATGGCAGAAATCTTTCAAAGTAACGCATTCTGTTTTTTCTGACGAATTAAAAATATAGTAACAGCACATTGAAAGCTTTATTCATTGGACAAAATAGTAAAAACTAGAGGACAGTAGTGGTTACTTTGCTCTTAATGAAGCAGTCTTTTTTTAAATTTCTCACAGCTACTACCTGTGTGCAATTTCCCTGTTCTCAGTACCTATTTTAATAGGAAATGAAATAGCACTGTTTGCCTGAATTCATGCTACAAAGTACAAATATATTTTGATGCTGGAATTTTTGATGATCGTGCAAAATATTTACCAGATTCTACTGTTAGCCATACCTGTGTTCTGCAGATTTCAGTCTTTCTAAATTACTATACTGTATTTGTTTTTTCCCTTTTCAGAATTTTTCATCTGTAAAGATGCAGTGTCTGAGGCCTTTTAGTTTCTAAGAATTGTCGCTTGATTTATATACAGTAATGCACATGGATTTTTTTTATTTGAAACATTTACACTGATGAGAGCCAGATGTAGCCGGATGACATCGGGCCAGTCATTCCTTCAGTCATTAGTGCAGGCTTTGCATCAAGCTGGTGTACGCATGCATGTATAGCATGTATCTATTTATCACTTTTTTAAAATTGGCATTCTTTGTTATAAAGGATCCAAATAGTTGAAAATACATTTTACCAAAATATAATAGAATATATTGTTACTGATCTCTTAATGGCCTACTGATCTTGTGGAATATCTTATTGCTAAAAGAAAATGATTCTCAATTTTAATTGAAAACATGTACACCTAGTAAAAAAACATAGTATATTCAGTTAATTGCATATTTGGCGTACAAAATATTTGTAAAGAACACAATAAATGAATGTATGCTTTTAATTTAGTACTTTTTTCCAATGCTTTCAAGTGCACTAAGAAATCATGTAGTAAATATCTAGCAGAAGCTGCTGAGTTTCTTTGCCCCGCAGTCATAAAGTTGCAACCACACTTTTTTTTACATATCCCAAACTCTGTAATGATTAAATCTTAAATAAGAGGTCCTTGATGTTCTGGGCTTTTTCTTGCATTTAATTACCCAAACTAGGTAACATCATCAGTGCTAGCAGATCTGCAAGAAAACAAGCAAGTTCAGCGAGCATCAAGGACACCCCTCATTTCAACCCCGAGCTGCAAATATTCTCCTTTATTGGTAAGTCTTAGGTTCAACTGATTTTTGATAAGGATTGTAAAGAAAGACTGTTGGCACCTGTTTAAACTTATCAATTGGAAATATAGCAATAGCAAATTTTTTTTGTATTCATGTCATAAGTCTAGAATCTAGGCATGTCCAAACTCAATCCAAATTAAAAGGAATATAATCACTAATAGGTGTTTTATGCAGCAGCTTGCATTCCACTCTATTATCTTTCCAAGCCTGGGAAGTAGGTTTAGCCAAGTTATTGGCCCAAAGTTATGCAGCAAGCCTTTTGGCAGCGAATAGGACTTGAACCAGGAACTTTCCAGCCCGAATCCAATACCTTAACTTTTATATTGCACTAGAACATGGTATGTAGAACATGGTATGAAACACTCCAGAACATTTTGAGGGGGCTGGTCTGTTTTGTTATAAACATAGTTAATTCTTGGGAACCTAAAGAAAAACTAGTTAATCCCATTTTCAAATTATATCCTGATAGAATAGTACTTATATGTTCTACATTTTGGATTTTAGTCTATAACCTATTAGGAATCAGGTTGCACAACTAAAAGTGAGCAGCTGGTGAGCAAGTGAAACCCTCCCGATCTGTGGAAAAATTGTCTTCCACACTGATCCCTGGTGTCAAAAAGGTTGGGGATCGCTGGCCTACAACACATTTGTTACTTATTCTGAATTTATATGGCCTATCTGAAGTAACTGCAGTTAACGAAGCATAAAATAGTTAACATGTATAAAAATAAGACTTGTAAAATATTTATCTGCACTACAACACATAACAAAATACAAAGAGGGACTTGCTAGCATCTTGGCTCTAAAGCCCAAGAGAAGTAGCATGGTTTTCAGGCTCTTCCAGGAAGCCAAGAAAATTGAGACCACCTGAAACTCAGCAGGAGCCTTTTTTCACAAGACTTCCAACAAAGGCATTATGTCTTTTAGGTCCCCTAAGAAAATATTGTTTCATATAAAAGATCTGATAAATAACAAGGGTGGAGGACAGTCCTACAACCAATGATTTCTGCCTATATTGGCCTTGTGACGCCATTTGGAAACTTATTGAAAGCAAATACAGCTCACTTCAACGGCATAATGCCTGCATTGCTACTTTCTGGGCTACCTCATTTTTGAATGTTTTTCAAGAGCATGCCTAGGGAATACATTGTAGTAATCCAACTAGGAAGCAACTACTAAGGCATGAACTACATATATCGATCTGGTGCACAAAGTGGATGTGTGCAAAGATCCTACTAGCCATGTTGCCACCTGCTCCTTGAGCCAAAGCCAAGAGAATTGTGAAATTATGTAGTGTGTACATATAAAATAGCTGCCCCAAAATTTACTTTTCAAAAACCAAAGTATTTTCCCAAATGTTTTCTTTCTCAAAGGGACCTTTTTTAGGACCAAACACATCCCTTCAAAAAAGGTGTTTTCTTTACAGAAAACCAATTTTGATATTAACATGTCCACGGGTGTCACATTGCGAACCCTCATGAATGCAGACTGCTTCATTGGGTAGTTTTCTAGAAAAGCGTATCTAGGAATTTGTTCATGTTAGTAAATATTGTAGAATGCCGCTAGGTCTGAACAGAATGCATGCACTAAGCTCCCAAAAATCCATCCAAAGCATCCCAAAATCTTTCTTAGCCCAAATATAAAAGGGAGAGGAATAGAAGGGAAAGGCACAAAATACAACAAATAAATTAGGGAGAAATGATTCTCAGGTGTGCCTAAAATTTATTAAGGCCAAGTGCATTTTGGGAAACAAATCTTTTTTTCAATCAAAATAAATTCTTCTATTACTTGTTTTAAAGGACATCAGTATTTTGCTGAAAGATATTAAAATCTATGGATAACATGTTCCCCTAAAATTAGAAATGCTGAACATAGTACATGCAAACCATGATTGCCAACTTAATGGAATTCACGATAAAATGCATAAAAATGTCCACTTTCATTTACTCCTGCTAAACTCAATTCTGCATCATTTGTCTGTACCCACCCTCCCAAAGCAATTCCTTTCTGCAACTAATTTTATCTTTATTAGACTAGTCACAGTTCTGCAAAATTCTGATAATGAAGTTAGGAGTTTAAGCACTGCTAAGTGGACATAAAAAAGCCATAATCAGCTTTAGTGTAGTAACTTGCAACACAGGAATTCAAACTGCAAAAATAATAGACAGGCATATTTCCATATCTTCTATTAAAATGACAATTTGCGTAGGATTCTCTCCCATGTCATAGGATGTGGAGAGCATACATTTTGAGCCTTCTCAGAAATCAGATTACTTTGAACATTGAAGCTAACTGTTTCATTAAAGGGATTTTAGACTAATGTGGTGAGAATCCCAGAGTAAGAGTAAAATGATTTTATTTTATTGCAAACAAACGGCTAAAGTTAATTTCTCCACCCACTTTCTTTAAAGTAAATCAGCAGGCTAAGGAGACACACCCATCTGAAAACTAACATGATTAAAAATTAGATATAAAATGGGTGAATCACAAGTTCATTTGTTTACAAAATGGTGGAGAATACTACTACAAGCACACTAAATACACAGTTTTGTGGGGAAAGGTTACAGACACACAGCTAACTTCATATAGATCCCATTAGACAACTGGATTTACAACAAGTTTGTTTAATAAGAAATGGGCAGAGCCAGCTTTTTCAGAATCAAAATGCAGAACAATGGAAAAAAGTTGTTGATGGTGTGTACCTTCACAAGTTGAGCCTCTACAGACAGATGCAACCAGATTAGATGTGCACTCCACCTTCACTATTTAGCTTTAAGGTTTGTTTTACCTCTTCAAAAACCTTTGCCAGATCAAAAAAACAACAACAGGAATATCCCTTTCTTTATTGCCAAGACTGTTTTGATTTTTCTTCCCTCTTCCATACCTAAAAACTGCGTAGAGAATGGAGTGGAAGATGGAGTGTAATGAATATTGTTTACATTGTATTATTTGGGGAGGGGAGGCACAAAATAGCCTGGTTGCTAAATATTCTGTTTTGATGACTCACGACTGTTTCCTAGAAATTGAGGGGAGGGAGGGGAGAAAAAAAAATCTTTAATCAGAGGACACCAGATACAAAGCAACATTTTACTTTTGTTGTGGTAAAAAAAAATCACATTTTACAGATAAAATGTAAGAACCCTGAAATACTGACACATTCGCTTATCGTGCACAATGCTAAGGTTCTTTTAAGATTCACTTTAAAACTGCAATTAAAAAATGTACAAAAAAAAAACAAACCAAAAACCAAAACCCACAAAGCTTCTAAAAAAGGAACCTGCAGGCACTTCCTCTTGTGGAATGTTTAAAAAGTTAGCCTACTAAAGAAAACAGTCGATTTCTTGTGAAGGTTTTGAAGAAATATGGATCAGTTCATTTTTATTTGGGAATTCAATAATATCCTTGGTGGTAATGCTGACTCCATGGCTTCTGACCCCAGAATTGCTGCAAAAGAACAAAGAGAACACAATGTTATATCAAATTTAAGTTTATGGTTTACTTATGAGTCTTATAAAAAGAAAGAGGTATTTACAAACAAAAATTATGTTTTAATTAGAATTGAAAAGCACACTTACACCCTGCTGCCACTGGTTGTAGCCCTGAGATTGATTTTTGTAGCCACGATTGTTTCCCCTTCCTCTGAAATTCTACAGCAAAACAAGAAATGGGTTAAACTGAGTTATCTGTTGAACACTCTCTGTCAATCCAATCAAGTTGTTTTAGTTGAGAAAAATAGGTTTTGTACTCCAGCTGGATATAAATTCTGTCTATTAAGAAAATGCTAAATTTATTACTAAGAGCATGTCCCCAATACACTGTAGTATATTTCCTATCAAGCACAAGAGCCATAAACCATTTAAAGAGAACCTACAAGCTTTGTTCAGATTAATAGCTGTGATTATACTATGTGATACCACACTAAATACAAAAGAAAGCAGCCAGAATTCTAGATTAAAATGTACTATTTTATATATAAAAAAATACTGAGTCAATCTACAAGTAACAGTTTAGGAACAGATCCATTTAGCTTAATAACCATTATTTGAAAAAAATATAGGGATTAGGAAACCAACTTAAAGTGGTATATAAGTCTCATAAATAAATAAATAAAATAAACTGATTGCACATTTGTATTAATACTAAATGTGATTTGTGCTCAACTATTCTATGGTTGCATTTGTTATGTTTACGTCTTTATAAACTTAATCATTTGGAGTCTTGCACACAAAGTAGCATTACAAATAATGATACCATTATTTATTAGCATGATATCATTCTTTGATTAGAGATCACTGTATGTAAGGGAAAAAACCTGATTCAAAGTAAAAGTAATTGAAACATAAAATTTTAGACATACTATTAGCAACAGGCTCATTCAAGTTTAGTTATCAGAGCTACATACTGCTTTTAATTAAATGTAGATTACTGAAAGCAAATTATTTAACAAAATAAGACCATCTTCTTGGTTTTAACAACACATTACCTGATTATAGTTCCCTCTGTTGGGCATTCCACCTCTGTTATAATTTCCCCTGTTTGAATAGCCTCCACCGCCACCTCCTCCTCTTACTGGGAAGACAGGTCCACGAGGATATGGATAGCCTATGGCTCCACCACTGCCACCACCACCTCCACGCTGGGGCATATTGCCACCTCTCCTGTTATAGCCGCCACGATTTCCTGGGACTGTGAAGAAAAAAAATGCCACCCATACTAGTCTGTTTTGTTTTTTAAAAAAACCCATTACCCCAGAAAGGCATACATAACTACAAGCAACTGCTATCCTTCATTGGTTAGCCTCTGCCCAACACCCAGCATGCCATATGGAAAAACTACATGAAAACTTTGCAGCTGGAATCCAAGACCTCAACTGGCAAACCTCTGCAGGACCCCAAATAGAGTTCCTTTAAGAATTGTTGTAATGAAAGGAAGTGACAAGTCCCAACTTTTTCAGCCACCACCTGTCACTTTCATATTAATCATAAATCAAGACAAACACTCTACAAAAGGGATACTCGACAGCTGTATAGCCGTCATTATCCTACTTTACAAATACTGATACTGCCTTGTGTCTGAGCCTGAGAACTTTCTGGAAGTAGATATAGGTAGCTGTAAACCCTTCATAGCTTTTCTCTTCTTTAGGATCAGGAATTTAAGATGATTCCTATAATATACGGAACATAGAAGGACAAATTGTACTACTGTCTACCTCCTCCTCTGAAGTTGCCACGCATGTTAAATCCACCACGTCCTCTCTGTCCACCTCTGTTAAACTGGTTTTTACCACTCTTTTTATTACTTTTCTTTGAACCAGTATTCTGCTTTTTTTCTGGAGGAAGGGCCTTCTTGCTTTCTTCTTTGTACTGCTCCAGAAGTTTTTGGGCTTCATCTTTTTGCAATTCTACGTAGATTATTTCATCAAAACATTCTGACACCTCTGGCAGAGTAAAATTTCCTATAAGACAGAGAGCCCTCAATATTCAGTATTTATTTCTGAAACCATCAGAACAAGCCAAAGTTCCCCTCCTATATAAAAGGAATATAAGACAGGTAATCTTCACTCAAGATGCTAAAAGCAAGATTCTTGAACACTTGAAAGATTCTCCCTATAAGGTTGAACTGGGAATACACGTCCACTAAACATGTTCAGCTTCGTTTTCTAGGGCACTTTAATGCCAAGACAGCTTTGTGCATCTGCATGAAGCATATCATGACTGAATAGTGTTAAGGACTGCAGCAGAGGGAACACAATATAGTGTTGGTCTTAACAAAGTTACAGAAGTCTTCCAGTTTTTTTTAAAGAGGCATTAATTGTTTAAGGCAAAGAAATTTTGAATCTTTATAGATTTTACATTACTCCTTTAAACAGATACTCAACATCCTAGAACACAGTATAGATTATGTTCCATGCCTTTCATTTTGAGCACTGCATGCTCTGGAAGATCTTTTCCCTCCACCTCTGCCTTCTTTTGTGTTCTTTGCTTGTAGTCTTCATCTTTTGGGCAAACAACAACTGCTTTGCGCTGGAAGCCTGCAAACAGGCACATTTTTCTCCTCTGCGCAGCTGCAGACACATTTGTCTGAAAAAAATGCAGTAACTTACTACACGTAGCTGTCATTGTTAGAGCGAAGTTAAATTAGTGTGCTTAGATTTCACCTCCACATGTATAACGCAATGAAGTTTACAAGTAGAAGGAAGTTATGTACGTTAGGCCTAGACCCTAGGGTAACCATTTTCCCCGATTTTAACTGTACTTTGAGCACAATTGCTGTAATTTCAACTTTATGCCTCAAACACTTATTTCCCACTGAAGTTTAGACTCTATGCCCCTTAAACTGCAGCTTAATTGCCTTAGTAACATAAAGAATTCTCGCCCCCATACCTGATCCAGAATAAAGTTCCGTTTCTTACGAGCAGCAATCTCAATAAATTTGCCAAGACACTGAGGTGCTCTTTGAAGCAATGTGTTAAGTTTTCCAGTGTCAGCCATTTGCCGCTTAAAACCTGCAACCTATAAAAATCAAAGTAGCATATATCATCATTACTGTTTTAAGCTTAATAAATTAAAATTTCTAAAATAAAGACACTTTATCCTTTCACACACCAAATCTTAACAATTAAACATGCTATCCCAATTTATTTTCAAAGTGTCAACTTGATTAGCCAGTTGCAAGATCTTGCAAAATCAGAAATACTGATTATTGGAATGTCAAAGAAATATCAAAAAGAACTGCTTCATGTGAACAGCCAGGATAGTTTTAATATTACCTGTCAATCAAGAATCTGAAACACATTAACAGCCACATTTCCAAATATGGTGATCAATTTAATGAATTCCCAAGTCACTTGAACTGTCCCTGGCCCTTTCCATGTCACATCCTCAATGGAAAGCACACTATAACTGATAGACTAGTCAACTGAATGACCTGTAACTCCACTGCCAATTTACAATTTAAAGTTGCTATGTTTAAAAATTGTGCAATAAATTAGTACAGTAATACTTACCATCATTTTGTCCATAATAGTATTTGTTCCAAGGATGTTGTACTTTCCAGGATTCTCTGCTGAATGTTTGGTGACCCATGTAGTCTTCCCAGCCCCAGGCAAACCAATCATCATGACCACCTAATGAAAATTTAGTCATGATTTTAATTATAAGGCCTCAAAATAAAACATTTCATTATCTACCAAGTGTTTGACTTGTACTATAAACTTTCAGCATTGCAGGACACAGTAGGTAGCATAAAAACAATCCTTTCTGAAAACATTAAGCTTTTATATTAATTCAAAAATGGGCTGTTACTTACTTCACAGTCTTTCTTATGTTCTGGTCCTTTAGGTCCTCTAACTCTATCTTCCAGATTAACATTTTGGATGAATGTATACCCCTCTGGTATGGGGAAATAAGGCTCATCCTTCTGGCCAAAGTTGAATTCCACTGCACAGTTATGGCAGAGGACATGTGGGAAAATGGGCCGTTCAGAAAGAACTTCTTTAGGGATCTTGAAAGCAATTCCAAGGTCCTGCCCATTCTTTGAGTAAGAGAATTCCACCTCATCACCATCAAAATTCTGCCATAACAAAAAATTTTTTATTAACATAATGACAATTCCTCAGGTAGTTTAAGATATCAGAAAGAAACCCTAAATCTAAACAGATTACTAGTTAAGATTTAACACTAAATTTTAGAGTGAAAGTCAAGCTACGCTGTAACAAAAGTAGAGAAACAATGAGTCCAAGAAATGTTCTGATCTAATTAGGAGGGTTTTAGTTCACTTTATACAATGCTAAACCTCCTCCCTGATTATCCTGTTTCAAAGAGATTCAGTGCTATTACGTAACTCTCCAAAAAGGAGTTAAGACATGAGGTTCCAGATGAAATATATTATTTTAATATTTATCTCTTGAACATCTCAAATAACTTCTAGTTCAGAGGATTTATTTTTGGAAACAGTCTCTGGAATGACATGGTACAGGAGAAAACTCAGCAGTCTTAAAGGGAACATTCCCAAATATTCCAGAAAATTCTCATTACTGTAATAAAGTTATCACGTTAATTCTTCAGTTATTAAAAATTACACAATATACAACAGCAAATATGGAATATTTACAATCCAAATAAGATAATGAAGACTTACAGCAAAGCATCCAATCACATCATTTTCATCAAATTTCTCACCAAAATCTTCAATCTCACAATTGCAGGTTTTTATCCCTTTTAAGGAGTATCCATAAGAGAATTCCTCCTCACCTAATAAATGTGAACAATTGCAGATGAGGCTTTCAAACTGTAGAAAACACAAAAACTTACTACTAATGGCACAAGGCAAATTATATATTGGAGAAAAAGAGCTGTAGTTTTTTGGAGGGGAAGGATGTTAAAATGCCTATGCCTATGGAACAAATTCCATTGTTTCTTATCCAATGAGATTCTATCATTCTATGCCAACCTCTGAAAAATTATTCAGACAAGTAAACCCATTATCGTAAATGGGGTCAAGCAGGTAAGAGCAGAGCTAAACTTAACAAAAACGAGTGTTTCTAAAAGTTATTGATTACTCTTTGACATGAGAAATGATTTCTTCCAGTAGTATCCTACAGAGGAAGAAGCTACACTTATTTCAATACAGCAGAATTTCCAAAAGTAAAAACAAGTTTTTAAAACTTTTTTTGTAACATGTATTGATTTTTACATTTTAATCACTATATTGTGTGCCTTGGATGCTTAACAAAAAACTCTTCATTTTGACTTGTGAATACAAAATTCAGTTTCAGAAGCAAACCATATCCAGGAATGTTTCAACTTTGTTAAGAACACTAATGCAACTAAAACAATTCAAGACAAATGTTTTGTATACCCTAGCACTACAAGCTGTTTTATCTTCCCTTTAAGAAAACCAAAGGATAAAACGTTTAGCAAGATGGGAGAGGGGGGGGGGGAGAGGGACAAGAGATACCTAACTGGCCTACTGTTATATGTACACTTAATTACATTTTATTTATATATATAACAAATTTAGCTAATTCCAAACAGGCTATAATTAACCAAAATTTTAAAAAAAATGAACAGTTTTTCCTCTCTCATCTCAGAATGGCAGGAAAAAACATCTTACCAAGCAGCATCCCACTTGTGTTGAGTGACCAGCCAACTCTTACTTCATGTATGTCAATGTCTTTTGTATACAGATGCTTAACAGGAATTTTTTCAGTTACCTATCCCACAGAAAATAGTAGAATTTAGTTTTGACAATAAAAGTAGGCTTAAAATATATTACAAAACCAGGAATTTCTCTTCAGAATTTCTGCCAGACACACCCATCTTTCCTTGCCACTTTTCATGCTATAATATGTATACGAACATATTGCTATTTTTGCAAACCTGAACCCAAAGACATATTTCCTCTTGTGTACAGATGATGCTATTTTGGTTACACAGAACTCTATATTTTATTTTAATAAACTGTTTACAATTATTATTATTCAATATCTACATTTTTCCCAAGAGCCAACAATTCTTTTCTGGTTAGCTTTTTCTTTAAAAGCAAAGGGAGCATTATTTTTTAATTAAACCTGGTACATATTCATAATACCTTCAGATACCAATAAAGTATCTTCTTTGCCTTTACAAGTTGTGTTTCAGCAAAAACACTTTCAACATCAATGAGTTGATAATACCACTATTAATTTCACTTACTTTCATCTCAAAACAGACTTTTCCTTTCGAAACTCCATAGGAGGCTCGTCCTCCAGCCCAGAGAAAGGCAAAACTTTCCATAGTTAATGAAGAAGCACTAAAGCGATCTCTTGAAATTTTAAAGTGTAGGTCACAGTTATCTGTCTCAAAAAAAGGGGGGAGGTGGGATATAGTTCAAATCTGTTGTAGTATGTTGTAACATGAAAATGAAGAGCATCTTTTAAAAATGTGGTTCACATTATTTTGATTTAAAAACTTGCATGTATTTCTGAATTACCATGGGTGTATTTGTAAATGAATTTAGCCCAAACAAAAACAAAACAAAAAAATTCCAAAACAAAGCAGTAAGATCAATGTGTAGTACTTAAATTGACTCCAGAATTAAATTTTCTACATGCAGCTTAGGTATAAAGTGTGCTTATCATGCATTTAAACAAATGTGAATAGAAAATCTACCCATTACCTGATGACTGGATGACTTATAAAAATTTTCAAACTCTTTAACAATTCACAGAATGTCCACGTTCAAATTGCCCTTATATCAATTATTTCATATCCTTTATTTACAAAGAAGTTACCTTTGACCAAGAGCTTTTAATGCTCCATGAATCAGATTTTGAGTTCTGCGAGTATCCCGGATCAATACTCAGATAACTATGCAAACAATTTCAATTAGGTTGCAGTAAGCACATAATTTGCTTTAGTTCCTTACCTAGCTTGATTAGTTTCCTTCTGTGTGTTCACAGAACACAGTATCAAGTAACATGTATCAAGCATAGGATAGTGGACACAATACTAGTAGCAAAATAAATGTCAAAAGTTTGCCCAACCTTCATTTGGAGTATGCTTTGCTATGTCTAAAATAGCAGAAAATTTAAGATTGTTTTCAAGATAACTTAGGTGTCACATTAAGCAATTTTCAATGGTGCTTTAAAAGCTTTTTAACAAAGAACACCAAAATAATTAAACTTCCCAAACTGATGTTAACCTAATACCATATTACAGATACAAGCCGTATGCAATAGCTAAAACTAGGTTTCAGAGATAACTTAGAATTTTTGATAACTCAGTTTTTACATTTTTACACTAATCTATTCATATTGCATGAAATGACAGTGTCCAATATCATTATAGTAAGCATCATATTAAGGGACTTCCTATTTTCTTCCTGTGTTTCCAAAAATTTCTATATCATTTCCAACTTGTGGAGTACCTCTAGATACATAGATGGGTATGAAGAAAAATATTTTCCATCAATTTCAACTTCTGGCAGATACTACTGCATTTCACTCAAAGCAGCATAATTTTATATTACAATATTCATAATTTTTTGCCTTTAACAACAAACCTAAAATTTAGACCCCTTAATAGGACGTAATAAACTTATTCAGAACTAAATCTCCATGGATCTAGTCGCTCTCTATCCCAAAATCAAGCTCACAGTTCATCCAAAACTACAGTGAACATGCAAGTGATAGGATCTTTTGCAAAAGAGAAGTTAACAGTTTTCTTCTCCAATACTCATGCTCCATGTATTAGGTATACTTTTTTAAAAAAGAGCTTTAATATAATCACTCATCAGTTAAACCCTTCATGGGCAACACAGCATGACAAAACTGAACCAACCTGCAGCAAAGAAAAATCTGATTTACTGTAAACTTGATATAGACACATATTGGTTTCTATCAGTTTGCAATACTTTACCAATGCAGGCTTATGTGCCTCATTCCAGCATTTAATAATACTTTAGTATTACAGCTCTGAAAATGGTATCCACAATATAAAATTCTGCTAGCTTTTTGTGGAAGATGTTATTTTAAAAATTCATCAGTAGTTAGTATGTTGCATCATATTGGCTTTGATGGGATTATTTATGTTATGGATGTCTCTTTAACAATAACTAGAATATAAGCAATTGATATTGTTAGTTCAAATGTTCATATCATAAAAGTATTCAGAATGACTCCAGTAAGATTTTCTATGTAAAGCTCCAAAATGTACCCATTTTTGTGTATTACAACCACAATCTTACAACCATGTACCAATGAATAATTCCTACTAGCTCAGAATACAGGAGCTATGAATACTTCAGAATACAGGAGCTACGAAATATATATATATATTAGAGCTGTGTAGCAACCTAGAGTTGAAGAGGAAATGGGAATTCAGACACTAATATAGAGGCCTGCACATAGTTAATTTTAAAATATAAAGTTAGGCTTAGGTACAAAATACACTCAATCTATACCTGTGTATGTTGTACCACTTTATTTGGCTTTTCACCATTGGCATATTTCTAAACAATCTTGATAAATTACAATAGTGACAGATATTGAATAATCAATTCAAATAAAAGCAGAAATTGTACCTCAGGTGTGGTATTAAGCATAAGTAGATCCTCAAAGTCTTACCCAAGAAGTACCTTTTAAGAGACCAGCACACTTTTTTACTTACAAGTATCAAGACAAACCACTGTGTCATCAAAGTGTTCATCCTCTTCTTCAACAGGTGGCTGTGGTGATTTGGCCCTGATCAATTAAAAAAGGAACTTGAATTCAACTATCGGAAAACATTTAAGTATTTCATTAAAAAAATTAAATACCACTTATTACCTGCTATATTTGTTTTCTTCAATATACTCAAAATAGCCTCGTCCGTGGTCTTCCCGTGGTCTTTTCACTCCCCTTTTTTTCTCACCAGGTTTTTGTTCAGGTTTAGTTTCTCCTTGGAATTTTTAGAGGAAAAAATAAAGTACATTAGAAACAACATAGTAAAATGCAAAGGGACAAAAACCCTGCTATGGAAACGATACGCCCTGCAGGTGACTAACCAACACCCCATCGCTATATTCATCCACCGCTTTCCGTTTTATTTCCAGAAGTAGACGGCCATTTCGCAGCTTCGGGCATTATTTCCGCTCACTAAATTTGAAGACGGCTCAAAAGAGACTCGTAACCCTCACCCAAATAAACAAGCCGCTGCGAGAGGCCTACATCGGAAGAAAAGGATTCGCCCGCCTCCATCGTAGTTCGCGTTTGAACTCGAGTCCTCAGCGCCTCACGAGCGGATATGACGTAAAAGCGAACAAACGCTCCCCCGCGCGTTCCACAGCGCGCCCCAGCGGCTCCTCTGCGCCGCCCTTCCCCCGCGCCCCTTCCTCATTGCTCTCGCGAAATGGCGCAAGCGCCCCTCCCCCTCCGAAACACGCGGCGCGCGAGGCCTGGAAATCCCCGACGGCCGAGTTGCCGCGGCCGCCGAAAGAAAAGAAGATGGCGGCGCACCCCGACGCCGTGAAGAAGCTACCAACCGCCTCCGCCCATCTGGGTTCCGCGAAATACTCACCCGCAGGGCGAGCGGGCCCTCCAGTCTTTTGCTGCTGCGGCTGCTGGGTAGGCGAAAGCTGCTTGGCGCCGGGCTGACCCGAGGACGCAGGAGTCGAAGCCGAAACCGAAGCCGAGGCCTCGGGAGCGCCGGCGGCCTTGCCAGACAATTCTTTCCCCACGGCGCCATGGCCATTGGCGTTCCCGCTGCTGCTAGTGGTGGACGCGGCGGCGGCGGCGCCGGCGTCTTCGTCCTCATCTTCCCCCTCCTGGAAGCCTTGGTCGTCGCCGTTCTCGTCGTCTTCTAGCTCGTCGGCCGCCTCTTCTTCACCAGCGGCCACCCCCTCGCCGTTCTCTTCGCCCAGCTCCATGCCTTCGTCCTCCTCCTCCTCTCCCTGGCCGCCGAACTCCGCCTCCTCATCGTCGTCGCAGGCCGCGGCCTGGTCGGGGCCTCCGCCTCCCGAAGCCATCAGCAATTCCTCCTGGGCACCTCCGCTGCCCGGAGCGGCTTCCCCCAACTCCTCGATGTTGCCATTGCCGGGCTCGGTGCTGGCTAAGCCCCCTCCACCGGCCTCCTCCTGGTCGAGCGCGGCTTGGAGCCGTTCCATGAGATCGGCCTTGAGGCCCTTGTCGGAGAGGCGCCGCTTCTTCAGCTCCTCCTTGAGCTCAGACACCTTCAACTTTTTCACGTTCACCGGCGAGCAGCTCATGGCGGCAGCGCGACGGCAGGGACTCGATGCGGTCTGGGCGTAGGCGGCTGGCTCGTATGGCTGCGGCAGCTGCAGAAAGAGATCCGCCTGGCGCCAAATCCTTTCACCGAGGCTCGCGAGGCAGGAACGAGGAGCGCGACTCACGGGCTCGAGCACGTAACGCTATGCTTACCCCGCCCCCGCCGCGCGCCTTATATATAGCCTCGCCCTCCTTGCCACACTACCTTAGCCCTGCTCTCTGGCTGAATCGTGCTATAAACCTTGGGCGCAGCAAAAAAAAATCAAAACTGTTCCTGAATTACGGGCCAATGTTACATATTACGGAATAATCAGACTCACTTGATGCTGGGCCCTGTACCTTCACTCAAAAAACATACCTGAGTGAATTAGATACAAAATACTGCTTATGTTCTACCAAATTGTAGGTTTCAGATTATTTTTGGCACAAGTTGCACATTAAACAAGAAAGTTATCATGTATGACTACATTAAAAACTATGTAGACAGAAAATGGAAATACAATTGGACCAAGGATTGCATTGGTTGCTATGTAGTGTAATGACTCTTAGAAGCTGTGCAGGTGCACATACACTAAAAGGGAAAAGCACCCTGAATTCCACCTTTGTCCAAAGCATCTTATTAAAAATTGTTCAATTTCCACTATCTCAGACCTTCAATTCAATGATGGTTGAATGCCCTCAATTATGGAACAGTAGCAGTTAAGATGGCTACTGTTATGTGCTCCTGGCTACTTTCCTTTGTGACCAGAGGCAAGCTCGCCTGACCAATAACCAGCCAAGACACAGGGAAGGCCTTTTGTTTCGTTTATTGCAATAAGCGGGGAGAAAAGCTCTCAAAGCTTGGTTCTCTCCAAAGTTTTAACCCAAAATATCTCCTTCTTTTATTCATCCCTATCACCGGCCGCTACAGCCCTCCTCTTTCCCCATTGGCTGAGGTAGTATGAGGTTACACTCTTTCCGTCCGCCTATACACATTTCCTGATAACACACTAAATCATATTCACTTATACAATAAGAAGAAGAAAAATTATTTTCTTATGGTTATTTTTAAACTCAAATATATTTATGTCCCCATTAAACAATAAGTTCTTTTCCTGCTTTTCAATTCAATTCATCATTTCAATTCATCATTCTCTTCTTATCTTATTTGGCCTGGTTTCCTACTTTCCTATACTCCCTGGCTAGCCATTTCCTTAAAAAAACTATTTATCTATTTTATGACTTTCCTCTTCCTTTCTCAGACCCAGCTATTTTTGCCTATATGGTTATCTTACTTCCTTAATGTTATCTCTTTCTGACTCTCACCATCTGTATTTTTCTTTCTATTCAATTAGTTTCCATTGTCTCTGAAGATTTATCATATTGATGTATATTTATCAATCCCCCCTGTATTTCTGTATACTCTGATGAATCTTCATTTTTTGGCTATATTAGATAACATAAACTTAATCTGTACATCTTCTCCAGAGATGTTTTTCGCTACTGACCCCAATGTTTTAGTGCAAAATGAAACACAGCAGGGTAAACATTGGAGACAGACACAACATATAATACCTATCACAACTATAAACACTAGTCCTATAAATATTTGTTTTAACCATCCAAAATTGGGAAGCCAATTTGTTAACCAACTCCAATCACCCCACATATGTTCATACTTTTGTTCAGGAGCTTTGGCCACATTCCTGATTCCTTTTGCAATATCCATCACTGCTTCATGATTGTCAGCTACCTTTAAATTCCAAAAACAAATTTTTACCTTTATTTCCCAGGCTGTTTTGGTGTGTTGTCTTCAGTAATATTAGAAGTAGAATCCACTCCTCATGATTATTACAGTATTTCACATCCACAAATTGATCCACAATTACAACAATAACAATAATCACTAGCTATTACAGAGGTAACACATCTACCACCTAATTCTTGCAATGTACATTTTCAGTTTCTAATGGTATGACTTCTGACTTAATTATTCATTTTATTTGTAACAAACAACTTTTATTTTTCTGATGAGTCACCACCAACATCTTTGTTCTTCGTCTGGGGTCACCTGAAATTCTAATAAAGATATTCAAAATAGGTAGGCGTTCTGGTCCACTACCCGTTCAAGTCCTTTTAAACGTGGCTTTCAGTCCTTGTCCTGGAATAACCGTCCACCCTCTTTCAGGTCCAGTCACCACCTTTGCTCGTGTGTAGTGAGTCCAACCCTTCTCAGCCCTCCGGACAGCAGATATAACAAGGAACTTCCTTTCTTTGGCTGTAGAAGTTCCTCCTTCCATTTACGATTCAGCACCCACTGTCCCGGCTGGATTTTATGGACTGGAAATTCCAAAGGAGTTGTTTGTGCCACCAAGCCTTCCTGTCAAAGAGAAGACAGAGATCCCAGTACTTGTTCTACATTTAGCTATTTGTCTCCCTCCTTTGGGAGTCTTAACCCTTTATTAACTCTTTTACATATCAAACATCCCTCTGTAGCCCTTTGGGCTATCCCATAAATTCCAAGGGTAGCATAGAATTTCAAATACATTTCCACCTATGCTTTAATTCCCCAATATTTCCCCTCGTATAGTTTTTGGATCACCATTCTTGCAGTACCTTGTAATAACCACAGAATCCCCTTAAGACCATTTTTGTTGTTTGGTAATTATAAATCTATATCCTTAATCCTTTTACTATCTATTTTTCTTTCCCCTTCAACGATAATATATTCTAGATATTTTACCTCCTTTCATACCAATTGGGCTTTATTTGCTAAACACCCTCAATCCTTTCTTCTGCCAAAAAGTTGCTTTCCCATTTCTTTATAATTCCCAGAATAAGTTCTTACAAAATTGGGAAGCTACATAAAAATGTATTTGCTTCCACAGCTTAAAAGGGGAGGAAAGAAAAATCATTTGTCCTATATCAGATAGACTACACTTGTCCATGGAAGCTCTATCAAAAATTGTCACATTTTTCTTTCTCCTCCCCCTTTCACCCTGATTAGATACCATGTTACAAAAATATAATTCAATAAACTTATTGTAAATAACACATTCAGGATTCTAAAAGGTAAAGCACATAGGCTCACCAAGTAGCATTGGGCCAACATTTCTGGAATGCCTTTTGTCTCAGGCAAATAACATTCAAATCACTCTTGTGGCAGCACATCAAAGAACACCAGGATAGCTAAGAAGACAAAAGATTGTCTTCCCCTTCCACCACTCACTAAACCAGACAGAGTAAAAATTTATACAAAACTTTTGCTTGAAACAGCCCTCAGTCAGGAGGAAAATTGCCTTAACATTTACAAAAGTGGCTTGCCAATACCTCCTTCCTAGGGCTGAACAAAAATAAACCAGCCCCAAAACACTCAGCCAACCCTCATGGCCAAAGCAGGATTTGAACTCAAATCCAGCCTTGCAGCCTGTGGCTATAACCCTGAAACCAAATTGGTTTTCTATAAAGATTTCCCTCCCCCTGCTTGGCTCCAAGGAAAAGGAAAACAAATTGTGCACACACAGTATGCAGCAATTAATCATCTTTTCTGCAGTAGCAAGGAGTTCCAAAGACACATATTTATCAGATGTTAAATAAAACATCATAAGATTGTTCCTTTGACAAGAATACCCTCAAATGCATTATTAAAGATAAATCCAAACTAAAATGCAAAGGAAAATCACTGAAGCATGCCACACATACAAAAACAGAGTTGGATGGGATATTAGAGGTCCTCTAGTCCAACCCCTTACTGAAACAGGAAACTCTATCCATTTCAGACCCTATCAATTTCTAACCTCCTCCCAAAAACCTCCAATAATGAAGCATCCACAATTTCTGGAGACAATTATCCCACTGATTAATTATCCTTACAGTCAGGAAATTTTACCCAATTTCTGCTCTTTAAAAACACACATACACACAAACAAACATGCAGACAGAAACTGCCTCCCCCCCCTTTTCTTCTTCTTTTTTCTGCATCTCTTACTTTTCCAAGGCAGAAATTCTTGGGTTAAAAAAGTAACAAACTAAACATGTTTAAAAGGATTGCTCAAAAATTTCACCCCCCTTCAATAGCCCTTCCACCATGGGTTTTAAACCCATTCTTCCTTCCAATGTAATATTATACTGTTTCTGGTGAATTACTTCACCAGGGTTCTTTAAAGTCACCTTTAAAGGATCCATGTGTACCCCTCTTCTATTGCCCTCTTGGGTCCATATAAGAGGGTCCACTTTTCCTTGAGCTTCCTCACTCAAGGTCATAATATTTACAATTATTTCTCTTTCATTCCCCATAATAACAATCCCCAATTTACCAATTAAGTACCCCCTGGCCAAATTACAGCTCCATTTAACCAATACAAAGTTCAGGTCCTTTTACTACTGTCTGGACCATAGCAGATTTAAATATTGTTGCTTCTACTACATGTCCATAATTCCCTGATCCTTAATCTTCCCTTTCCCAATTTGCATTCCTGGAGGTAAAAGTTCAGGGTAAATATGGTAGTCCAGAATCCACCGAATACACCCTTTCCTCCTCCAGGGATCCAACCTTTAAAGTTTATCAGGGGTTCCTAAAAAGCTGAACCAAAAAACAGATTAGTCCCCTGACACCCCTAATCCTCAAAATTCACCAAATTTGCTAGTTCTTCCCCCTCCTTCTTCTTAAGGTACTCATTTTCCCAGTGTCCTTCCTCCTTACAAAAGGCACATTTATTTATTTATTTAAGGACTGGGGAAAATTTTTCTCCTAGAGATTTATATCCCCTGGTGCCAACTGGTTGTCCTCACCCCCAGCCTGCTTTTCCTAATTTCCTGATTACTCTTCCCCATCCCCTTTGCTGGCCTGTTTGCAATAATTGAGCCATGAATTTTTATCTTATCTTATGTTTATCTCTCTCCTCTTCTCACTTCGCATATACTTTCTGAGCCTCTTTTACTGCTAATAAATCTTCTATTGTTTTAGTTTTCCATCTGTCTAATTTCTGCATTTGTACCCTAATACCTTCCCATGCTTTCCATTGGTCCTAAAAACATTTCTAACCTGTTTTCCTACTTCAATAGGATCTTATATTAGTTTGGGCAATTCTTTCTTAGATTGCCTGATTTCAAAAGCTGTTAGGGGGGACAATTCCCCCCCCCCTTGTCACCTTCCAAACTATAGGAACCTCAAGAAATACATAGCTTTCTACTTAACTC